GATATATTAATAAACTATTGGTAAAGCTGGTCTTACCGTCGTTACATCATCTTATTATTGTACTCGTCACAAGTCCTTGGACCAAAATGTAGCCATCTGTTATGAAGATTCAGCATCCCAAATCCTATAGCAACAGCTAGATATAAGGGGTAAAATCGGGCGTAGATTTCAAAAATGGGGTCAGAATTAGCTGATTCGCAGTCGTTTTTGCGCTACAAGACTATTTTTAAGATGCCCCAGATTTACGGGAAACGGGTTGCCTTTGAGGCGGTCATTTGATTGGGCAATTTCGAAAACCACATGGATTTGCGCAAGAAAGTACAAGAAAGTACGCAACTGAACAGCAGCAAATCCGATTACAATTGTAACGATTTGAGTGCAAGGAAAAAACAAAAATTTATTTAAACAGGCACCTTATCCTTCGCTCTGCTGGGTCGTAATCATGCTTCGTGCTGCTGCTGCGCCCAAAATGAGAATAAACGATTATATTATATTTTCTGTTAATCCAAGATTACCGGTATTGCTCATCACCATCACAATGTAAAGACACGGAGGACGGATGTCATTTCAACTTTTTAGAATTTGCTCCGCTTGCCGTCGTAAAGACAGTCACAGTAAAAAGATTTCCCGTCCTGGAGAGTGCAATGCTTGGCTCGCTGGGAAAGCTCGGCGTCGGGCCAACCTTCGCAAGTAACGCGCCGCGCGGGCTTGCTGCGACTGCGAGACGCATCTGCTCGCATCACTTGGTCAGGCTAGCTTGTTTTTTTTTTCCGTTTTAATTTGTTCTCGATTTCACCCCGTCCCTCTGCGCTGCTGCAGTGCAGCCGCCTTTATCAAAAATATCCGGAGTTGCAAGAACATTTTTCATGCTGTGCTGTTGTAAATTGTGGGATTCGTGCTGTCGTGTCGTAATCAAAAAGAACATGCAGTCGATTACCTAATAGGAAACTGTAGTACCGTATGGAACGACTCGTTCCGAATGAGCATTCAACAAGAAACTTCCTCGCTATTAATCGCGTCCAGTAGCATCAATAATGCGATTCAAGCCCACTCTGGTACTGTTCATGGGGGGTTTCCTCTGGAGCTGTATATATTTCACAGACGCCGAGAATTCTCTTCTCGTCAACAGCGCGCCGGCGTCAAACGTTAAACTTATCGTAAACAAGAATCGCCGTCTCAGGGGAGCGCAAAATCAACATGAAGAAGAGAGGGACGTTGGGATATCGAATGTCTCTCATTCATCACAGACACCGGGTAAATACAAGGCTCTAGTCAAGTTTCTAGTGGTGTACTGGATGCTAGTTGCAGGCGTCTTTGGCGTTTTCAAGATTAAGCAAAGGGGCTCCAGTGACAACGAACCTACAACAAGCTGCGCACACGGCCGTTCGCTTAGGAAGCGTGATTACGACCCAGCAGAGCGAAGGATAAGGTGCCTGTTTGAATAAATATTTGTTTTTTCCTTGCACTCAAATCGTTACAATTGTAATCGGATATGCTGCTGTTCAGTTGCGTACTTTCTTGTACTTTCTTGCGCAAATCCATGTGGTTTTCGAAATTGCCCAATCAAATGACCGCCTCAAAGGCAACCCGTTTCCCGTAAATCTGGGGCATCTTAAAAATAGTCTTGTAGCGCAAAAACGACTGCGAATCAGCTAATTCTGACCCCATTTTTGAAATCTACGCCCGATTTTACCCCTTATATCTAGCTGTTGCTATAGGATTTGGGATGCTGAATCTTCATAACAGATGGCTACATTTTGGTCCAAGGACTTGTGACGAGTACAATAATAAGATGATGTATCAACGGTAAGACCAGCTTTACCAATAGTTTATTAATATATCCTGATCTAAAACTTTTTGATTTTGGTGGCCACTTGCAGACTGAAAGTGGGGAGCAACTGCAAGTTGCAGGTCGCCTCATCCTGAGATGGTGGATCAGTAGGAGGACTGGCTACGACACATCTGCTCCTTTACTTAAGGCTACGACATGTCCGCTAAGAGCTCATTTGTGAATTCATTTCTTTCCGGCAATGCGTTCGCTCCTGTTGACCGTGCTTTTGAACCTGGTCGTGCTTCTAGCAACCACTGGGGCAGTTTCATCCAATCTCAACACCGCCGTGAATTACGCTTCCACATCCAAGATTCGCTTTCTGTCGACTGAGTACAACGCCGATGAAAAAAGAAGCTTGCGAGGTGACTACAACAATGAGGTCACAAAAGAGCCCAACACGTCTGACGAAGAGCGGGCGTTTTCTATCTCAAAGTCTGCGGAATACGTGAAGATGGTACTTTATGGATTCAAACTTGGATTTTCTCCTCGCACTCAGTCCAAGACGGTGTTGCGATACGAAGATAAACTGTTTACGGCTCTCTATAAATCCGGAGAGACGCCGAGAAGCCTAAGGACCAAGCATCTCGATAAGGCTTCCGCTAGCGTATTTTTCAACAGATTCAAAAAATGGTACGATAAAAACGTTGGCCCTAGCTAGCTGGTGCCGGTTAAGAGTGTCATGCTATGACATCGTATAGCAACCATGCACACTTCAAATAATTCGAGACAGCCGAAATTTAATGCAGTCATCTTTTACTGCACCGGTGTTTTTGAAGCCGTCCACGTGTCTTTTTCTAATTCTCTAGATTTTAATCCAGAGAGGGACGGTACTCGACTTTAAGAAAACTCTAACTTTTTATGTGATTCATTATTATTATTATTATTATTATTATTAGATTTGTGTCGAAAGAACATTTTCTTTAGTCCTCTACAAACATCTCCTCTTTCATTTCTTATATCACGGGAAAATGTGGTGGCAATTAAGTCTTTGACCCAATTCGTGCTGTAGATAAATGCACTTCGTACCAAAATTAGATCGTTTAACCAATATGCTGTGGACATCACAAAAACACAGGATAATGTCTGTGGCGGCCACAGGTAGCATCGAAACCCAGTCACCCAGTGAGTGTTGTTTGAAGAAAGCTGGGTGAAGCAAATATCTCTTTTGAAGATATATAACCCAAGGGGTGAATAATTATCGGCTCATTCGGTTCTCCTCACAATAAGTTCGGTAGCAACGACGCATTCATGATTTTTCTACAGCTTGTAGCATGGTGGGTATTGTTTCTAGGAATGCGTGCCGTGCAACATCATCATGAAGAACACTTTTCTTCACCAATGCATTCTCCTAAAGGGCATACTCTAGAATTTACTATCGGCAACTGTGCCATCTTGGCACTCGTCTTTCTTATCTCCACCATCTCTGCTAGGTTTTGGTGGAGATCCTCGACCGTGGTCCACGCAGTCCAGTAACAATGATGTAAACTTGACTTGTATTAAAGCAGCGTTTCAGCGCATAGATGTCAAGTTCTCATATTTTTCGTTTGCTAGAGTTGCAATGGCCCCGATGAAAACAATGGTGCTAAGATACATGAGTTGTACCCGCATCAAAATGTATGTGATGCAGATAAAAACCATGCACCTTAACAGCAGTACTATGCAATTTAAGAAAAGCGTCCCACGAAGTAGCCTCATCTACTGAAGATAACGGGGATATCGTGGTAGCACTATGCCTACTTCTACTGATGAAATTTAAGGTCTCAGTACACCAGCACTGGACAAGACGACGGCCAGGATTCCGACTCTTCGCTTGAGTATGAGGACTCCGGTAATCCGGTTGGCTTCCCGCTCTGTCCAATGATTTGGACCGCACGATGGCTACTTACACAAGTTTGAGCTACTAGAACTCAAAGGAAGATGCTGAGCTGATACTTCACCAGCTCAATATATTTGTGTACATATGTTTTGTATTGGAAAAGAATACGAGTGCCGATCTCACGAAGACTGCCATTATCGCATTAAACTTATCACGCATCACGCCGGAGAAATAGGAATGAAATACGAAGTCCAACGAAAGGGTCAGCACGTCGGAGACATTTTTTAACCCTATCGCGAGCCACCTTCCTTCACTATACTATTGTTGATATGCACCGACTCTGCACGGTTTGGCTAACCGGCGTGACGTTTCAAAATGGATCGGTCCCTAGCCGGTTAATCTGGTGGATGGCCAGGAGCACTGAAGTTTAGAGGACAGATTTAATTGACTTTAATCTACTCACTTCGGCATTTGCCTTTAACCCCTCTAGCCCCGCCGCCTGTATTCTACAGGATATAAATTTTCGTATCCTGTATTCTACAGGATAACAAAAAGGCCATTTTCCTCATTACAAAAAGTAAGTGTTTCCATACAAACTTTAAGTGTCCACTGAATTATAAAGTTTTAGAATCACGTTGCTAACCTCGGGGCAATAATTCGTGGCTACGACTTTTTCGAGATTTAGGGAGAGCGAGCGGCGCGCAAATTTCGCGCCATTTGCGAATCGGACGGACATAAGCAAGAACGGCCTCATGCCAAAGCGGAAGCACATCCGGCCAATAGCTTGGGGCAAGCTCTGGACGAAGCTAAAAAGGTTAGGATGGCAATTCGAGCGACCTAAAGGGCTATCCAGCCAAAACCGATTCTTCACGCCAGAAGGCTGGTCAAGAAGACCAAACGCTACGCATCTTGTCGACTACTTCGATGGGCCAGATGAAGTATGGAAGCATTTACCCGTGGAAGGTATATCGATTGAATGGTTATGACCTACAATCTAGTGGCTAATATTCAAAAAATTTGTATGATGAGGTTCCTCCTGCTAAGCGATCCGCATATGATCGGCGCCTGTTGAGAAGCAACTGAACATGGAACCTGCTGCATCAACTACAAAACCTCCGACCAAGGCTCAGTCAACCTCCCGGGCCAAACCAGCGGAGGCTCAGACCAAGTCTCAGGCTAAGGCACTAGCCAAACCTCCACGCAAAGCCCCAGCTAAGACGTCGTGCAAATCGCGTACGGCGGCCTCAGGCCAGGCGCCGCCCAAGTCACCTGGCAAGACCCCATCCACGCCGCCGCCCAAGGCTCCAACCAATACTCCATCAGTGACGCCGCCCAAGTCACCGGCCACGACCCCATCCACGACACCGGCTAAGGCTCAGGCCAAGCAATCATCAGCATCTACAAAAAAAACGAGCCAGGAAGTCCACCGCTCCGACAATTGAACCAACGTCATCGACGCCACCGAGACCGACTCATGTAGCCGCAAGGACAAATCTGGTGGATTTATCGACGGGTGACGACAGAATGGAGTCTGGAGACGAAGACGACTTTGTATTGGAGGATGGCGACTATTCTGACGCGGAGGCGGCCAGCGAGAGTTCTGCAGGTGATGCTAGTGATCCCGAGGAAACAAGTGATGAAGAAGATGCGGTGGATTTGTCGGTGGGTACGCCCTTTGACAGAATGAGCAAGGAGGACCTGAGCGAGCATGCGAAGACGGGCTGGACAACATACTTCGAAGCCGAAAGTAAGTATAATCCTGTACGGTACAGGTTTGCATTCATCAAACTCTTTGTACTATCCTGTATGATCCGCTAACTTTGAAAACTGTGTGCTGAATGCAGGCAGCGCTCTCGATTTGCCTTCGGCAAGTCTGACCAACTGCACAGCAGCTCCAACTGAGATCGCGCAAGCACTCGGGTGTAATATGGAAGGACTCTTCTTCCTCTTTCTCCCCGGATATCCATAGCAAAGGAGTCCAATCGCTATCAGCGCCAGTTCCGGTCCCAAGCTATTGAATCGATCATGATTCGCCAGCGCCGCATGAAGGAGAGACGCCCCGACTACAAAATGAAGACTCTGCAACAAGTGAAGAAGGAGCTAGACGCATTCAAGCCTATCCAGCCGCATGAACTGGTGCAATTCATTGGTCTACTATGTGCAAGAACATTATGCCCGCATCGCGAGAAGCTAGCAAAACACTGGGCAGTCGATGCTCAGGGCACGGTACCAAAAGGCACCTTCGGACGTTTCATGTCAAGAAAACGCTTCGAAGAAATTGTGCGGTTCATGCACTTTAGCAACAACAACGACGCCGCTGCAAAGCAATACAAGACTTGGAAGATCAAGCCCATTGCCGATACAATCAATAAGATGTTCAAGCTAGGCATGAGTGTTGGACAGCGCATTGCCTTTGATGAAGGTATGATACCCATGAAGAGCAAGTACAACCCCATGCGGCAATACCTTCGTACCAAGCCCCATCCATGGGGTACCAAGTGCTACTTGACGTGTGACGCTACAACGGGTTACTGCTACAGGTATGTCAAAGAGAATCTATGTATTCTACAGGTTAGCGTCTAACAAGTTGTGATTGTTATCCTGTGCAGGGCTGAAATCTATCAAGGGTGGCTGACGAGTGATAGTGCTGATCTGAACCAGGGCCCAAACGCGGTAATTCGCAACCTTGATGATGTGCTCGACGGACTGCCGAAAAAATGACTCGTCATTACGAATCGGTTCTACTCGAGCGTGCTGCTGTCTTCGATTCTCCTACAACGGGGTCTTTATCACGTGGGCACCATTCAGACGAACCGGCGCGGATATTGCAAGACGATTCCATACAAGCAAGCCAAGAGGCCAAAGAAGATGAAGAGAGGGCTGTATCGAATTGCACAGTCAAAGGTAGAGCTAAGCATGGTGGCCGTTTCGTGGATGGACAACCGTCCCGTTCACTTCACTGCCACGGGCTGCGGTACTGGTGTGGTAAGTTTGGTAAGACGTGCAGGTGCTGACACTGTTGACGTCCCAGCACCCCAGCTCGTCAAGGTCTACCAAGAAGGCATGGGAGGCGCAGATATCCATGATCAGTTGCGGCCCCAGCGATTTTCAATACAGGTACTACCATTTGTATCCTACATTACTTTGGTTTCATATTGACAATTGTTATCGTGTACACTACCGGGAGCGATGAAAATGAAGAAGTACTATCATACTATCTTTCTCGGACTCATTGACATGGCGTTAGTCAATGCCTACATCATCCATCGCCACGTCAAAGCAAGATTGAACCCAGGTCGTGCTCCACCCACGCACGCAAAATTCATGAGATCTATGCAAGTCGCATTGCTGAACGTGGGAGCTGCCGACTTCGAAGGAGACCTATCTGTCGAAGCTTTGGCTGATACAAGCGTTGTGCTGTCGACACACCCTCGCTACACACTCCCGGCCCATCACACACCTCGCCAAGTGGATATTTTTCGCACGCCAAGAGCAAAATCCGGAAAAGAATCGAGCAAAAGACGTCAGTACGGATGCAAAGTGTGGTCATTACCTCGCCCGGCAAAGACACCGTGGGAGACTACGCTTTACTGCGTTGAGTGCTCAGAGGAAAGGATGAATCGCCAGTCGGGGGCACGAGGAAAGATTTATCTATGCCAAAAGGTTCGTCAGCACGACCCGTCGGGATCAATAAACTCAGCAACTTGCAGCCAGATTTGGCACAAACTTTGGGGCGCTGGTGCTCGTAAACCCCCTGGATTGAAGACAATTCGCATGCGCTCACAAGTGGCTCAAGCTCGCGCCGCACTCGAGAAAATATTGATGACAGCGATGAAGAAGAA